AGAGAGATGGTGAACCCTGCAGGCAGTACCACAAGGGGGGCCATTAGACTGCCTTAATCTGGAAAAGGGTGTCTCTGATAGGGTTGTTTTCCTCATTTACTTGTTTATAGGTATAAATTTGGTAGGGAAGTGAGCCATCTCAGTTTTTCATTTCTTTGTTCTCATCGATCAAGACTGCAATGGGGAAAGTCAAGAAAACACCTGCCCCGCCTGTGAAGACTGACCATCCTGGAGCTGTCAGCCCGCAGCCAGGACCCTCTCACATTCAGGACTGTGCAGCACCATCTGCGTCCTCAGAAGTAAAGATGGATACCACCACCGAAGGTCATTTGTCACCTGTTTCACAGTCACTTGCTAGTGCGACAAGACACCTCTCCCATGGATATATCTTTTGTTCGACTTGGTACGAAATTCGTAATACATCTGAGGACTTTCCCACCTCCATAGAAGCTCTCCTAGCCCTCAAGAAAAATTTCCCGTCCCTGCAAGTATTGACGAAGGTCACTCCCAATGGGGACTACATTCTGCAAGCCAAAAACAGGACAGTCTATTGGCACTTCAAAATGCTGCAGTGCTTATTACTGGCAAGTCTGTAGCCATCAATATTAGTAATCCACCACTAAAGAAAACCAAGATGGTTCTTGAAGGCTATCCAATTGGATTTCCCATGGAATATCTGGAAGAACACCCCTTAGAAGAATCTGCCACCAGACTCAGGTTCACACCTCGAAAGAAGAAACCCGGCAAGTTCTCATTACTCTCCATGGGGAGCCTCTTACAGAACTACGCTTGGGCATATTTGGGACTTTCTCTTTGAGAGAATATTACCGTGAACCCCTCCACTGCACCAATTGTCAGCGTTTTGATCATCTCGTGACAAAATGCAGATCTAAGCCACGATGTGGTGTCTGTTTTGATGAACACCTCACAGACATTTGCCTGGAATCCTGTTTGTGAGGAAAGGAGTAAACGTTTACAGATTCCACCAGGGCTCTAGACTTCAAGGCCACCAATTACCCGTAACTTCACACGCCAAACTCATCTCGTGGGCAACAACCTCCCTCCTTCGTCCTCTAGCGGTCATTCACACGTTAAAAGTTATGCTAGTGCAGTTTCGGCTGCAGCAGACGCTTCCAGACCTGTTGCCTCTCTAACTTCCATTCTGCCATGCCCAAGTTGTTCCTGCAATACACAAAAAGACACTATACCAGGGATATAGAGTTCCTCACGTCCATTCTCCATATGGGACCTACTTGTAGGAAGACAACTAAATCAAGAAGTTGTGCAGGAACTTGTCACAAATGTTCTCACTAACAGTAGTGCTGCCCAAGCAACAGAAAGAAACCAGACTTCTTCCACTTCGACTGTGACAAACTCAGCTATTACTATGGAGAAGACTAATGATCTGCCTGCAACCTCAGTAAACCGTCAAGCAAGCACACACGACACCAACAAATCTTTGGTGCCAACCCCTGATCCGTCTCAGAAGAAACGTTTTCGTCGGTCTTCCTCTGGTAGTGAAGGCAACTTTATTCCACCAGTGCCAAATCACTTTGCCGACGATCAATCTCTACCTACCGAATTCCACATACCTCAACCAACTACTGCTCTCACCTACCCCTCTACAGTTGGCTCTCTCCCAGTCTTTCACATTCCGGAACAGGATATTGACATTACTATAGATTCCCCAACTGACCGGCCTGCTTCTGTAGACAGTGATGAACTCTTACGGATTGTAGACTCTGATATAGACTCTGATAATCATGACTGATATGGCAAGTGACTCTTCCGGTACAGATAGTATACGTATTCTACATTGGAACGTTAATGGGCTGAAGAGTCATCTTCCCTTGCACTTGCTGAAGACAGGCATGATGTCGTCCTTCTTCAAGAAACATTGCTAAAATCTCACATCAACCTTACAAACTATACTGGTTTCCATAACTACTACCAAGCAGGGATAAACAGAGGCTCCTCTATCCTAGTCAGAACAGATATTATGGCAAAACCCATTGCTATCCACCTACACTATGGTTATTCCATTGAATACCAAGGCGTCACCATCTCCTTACAACACAATGAATACCACATCTTCAATATCTACAGACCTCGAGATTCTGCCAAACTTAAAATAGATCACATCTTTGCCATAGCAAATGACTCACCTTCCATTCTCTGTGGGGACTTCAATGCCCATAACCCATTATGGAATAACCCTACAAATGCTTCTACTGCCAAAACCTGCACTACCGGACATTACCTTCAGAATCTCCTTCAAGAATTCTCTAATGTCTCTCTACTAAATTCAAAAGACACTATACATCTCTGTGGAGGTGTACTTGATCTGACTTTTGTTACCTCTTCTCTACTCCCATCGACAAAGTGGTCTTTACACCCATTCCTGGCATCTGACCATTTTGCTGTGACTACCACCATCCAAGCCTTTCGAGTGCCAGCTCCCCCTCCGAACCCCAAATGGATCCTTTGGAAAGGAAACTGACACCTATACAAAGACCTTATGGAGACTTGGGCTGACGGCTTCATTCCGCCTGAAGACATAGATCATTTTGAATTCGCACTCGTTTCTGCCATCCAACAAGCTGTAACTCAAGCCTTTCCTCCAATGTCCCCTTCCTCTCCAACACACAAGAACCAATGGTTCTACAATGATAGGACCAGGGAGGTAAGACATGGTCTCATTATGAGGAAAACACTCAAACGGCATCCTTCTCCTGAACTTCTTGCTATTTTTCGAGCTACCAACAAACACATCTGTAAGAAAATCCAGGCAGTAAAACCACGTACCTGGCTTGAATGGAGCGAGACCCTCAATGTTCATACCTCCTTAAAAAATCTCTGGAGGAAATCAAATGCAATCTCCGGAAAGTTCAAGAAACAACCTCACCCGCAGCGAAAAAGAGAAGCAGATGCCCTTATCACAATGTTCAAGACCAGGAGTGATACCACCCAGCTCCCTCTTTCTACACAGTGTTGCCTAAGAATTCAGGATCCTATGCAAGATGCATCCATCTCCTACGCTATTAACAAGCCTGCTGATTCAGACCAACCATTTTCCCACCAAGAGTTACGGAAAGCATTGAAAACTGGTACTGACACAGCCCCAGGCTTAGACAGAATAACATTCCATGCTCAACCATCTCGGCCCTCAAGCACTTGACATTCTCCTTTTGCTATATATTTTTTGCCTTCCCCCAAGCTGGAAACTTGCCGTCATACAACCCATTCCAAAATCCAGCCCAGCTGGTTCTTACAGGCCCATTTCTTTACCATTATGTATAGGAAGACGATGGAACGCACAGTTCTTGCTAGACTTCTCTTCTATATTCCACATCCCCATCAACACATTTATGCTTACACCAAAGATCTAAGCACAAAAGATAACCTGGCCACTATTTACTCCCTGACAGATGGGGTCGATAGCATTACCTTTCACGACATAGAAAAGGCGTTCGAGTTGGCAAACTGCAAAGTGATTACAAACATCCTTGCTGCCAGAGGTGTGTCTGGCAAATTACTTAGCTGGACCTACGACTACCTTTGTGACAGGAAAGCGCAAGTCAAATTCCAAGGCACTCTATCAGACATACACACCTTCCAAAATGGTACACCCCAAGGAGGGATACTAAGTCCCTTCCTTTTCAACATGCTCATGGCTGAATTAATCTCTACAACTTCCTCCAGAAACCCACCTTCTAGCATATGCCGATGACCAGCTGATAACGACTGGGAGGAACAGATTTGTCAATGCCCAACTTGCACTTGACCGTTTGGTCAGAAGATGCCAGTTTTTGGGCCTAAAGGTAAACTCTGCAAAGACACGGGCATTGCAAATTAGACGCTGCATACCGAAACAATGGCTATATATCCACCATGACAAGATAGAGTGGGTCAATTCACACAAATGCTTAGGGGTCTTCTTCAATGCACAAAACGACTCCTCAACACAGCTCAAATACCTCCTGGCCAAAGCCAAATCCCGGATATCTGTCATGAAAATAATAACTGGCTCAGACATCAGGGCAGGATATCATGTCCTTTGCTCATTCTATGTACATGCTATCCACTCCATTGTTGACTACAGCTCCATAGCCCTACTGCAACTCACTCCTAGTCAAATCTCCAAGTTAGAGACTATTCAAAATAAATGCATGCGACTTATACTAGGAGCACCATGGTGGACCAGATTAGCCAACCTTAGGGAGGAGTCCCATCTTGTTCCCTTACAAACGCGTAACCAACAAATGGTAGCTGGTTCGATCGGTAAGATTGTCTCACGTCGTGATGACGGCCCTCTTGCTAAATCACTGAGACACAACGAGCCTAAATCTCAAAACGCCTAGCATGGCACAGATGTGTTTTACAATCTCTTGACTCCCTGAATCTTCTTCCCATTATACGAAGAAGAGGAATAGACACCTATAATCCCTGGTACACCAGAGCCAAGCCATAGGATTCTCCTCTTACAACTTTTCATGTAAGCATTTTACCTCGGCCTAAGGCTTATTGCAGCCTAGAAACCATCACACAGGAGGATGTGCAACTTCTCGAGTCCAACCCTGATATAGCCACATTTTTTACTGATGGTTCTTTCGATCAAGAATCCGGAAGAGCTGGGTCTGCACTTGTATGCGGTGAGCATGTATATACTAGCCGCATCTCCAATCACTCATCGATCTCACAAGCTGAACTCTTCGCTAATAAGGGGGCTCTCTCGCATGCACTCTCTCTACCTCAAGAATTGATCTACATACTTACAGACTCACTCTCTGCTCTGCATACTCTACAGAAGTTTCCTGAGGACAATATTCACCTGATCTCCACTACTCTCTTTCGATTGCAACAATTGATTGAACAAGGCAAATCCATATATTTTATGTGGATCCCCAGTTATTCTGGAATTGACCAGAATGACCTCCCTGACCGAGCCGCTAAGGACAGTTTAAGTCAAATTCAATTTACTGTCCTCCAACCCAGTATCAGCTATGTCAAGAAACTTGCGAAAACTACATCCTATCAAGTTTCACGCATACATCATCAGGTTTGGGTACATGCTGGTTCCTTCTCAGCACAATGGTATCAGACTGTCACTGAATATGACCCATTACCAATCTCCGAACCATGAAAAGGAGAGATGCCACCACACTACATCGCCTTCGATTAAGCTATAGATGCCATTGGGAAATCGACGAATGCTTATCTCGAGAATGCCAACACTGCCAAGCATTAGTCGAAGAACCGCTGCTGCACTACATTATGGCCTGTCCTGTTCTCTCCACTATCAGACCACCTCAGTTCAGTCATGCTAATAATCCTCTTATGTCCAAGCTGCAGCTAATTGCATCAAACACATGCTCAGATTTGAAAATAACTTTGACTGTATATATCTAGCACCCCCACCGAGATAACTTTATAGCCATATGGCTCTACTCAACATTTCCTTTCTTGCCTTTAGATTCTCAATCAGTCACCTCATACACTAAATTAAGAACTATCACGGGGTGGCTCCTGCGAAACCCGGACTACCCTCACAGAGTAGTGAATCAGAAAAAAAAAAAAAAAAACGGGCCGAGATCAGCACTTGGATCCTCCACATAGAGCAAGACCACAGCAAGCAACACCAGGCCTACCCAGGCCTTAGCCGTCGGGGGAGCCACCCCGGCTCTCCCGTCGATCTCCAACACCCAGCCATACCTGTGAGCACTCACACCCACACCAAATACTCCCGAAAGAGAGGATTGGCACCAGTCAAATGGCGGATGCAAATCTACCGCCATGCCATCTACATTTATGTAGTTACAGTTGTGACAATTTTAATCTGTATCGGAACATGAAGCATAATTAATACATAATTTTGGCTGACTTATTGTGTGCAATGTTTACCTTACTGATATTACAAGGCCTTCTTTGTATACCTACCAACCCCCCCCCCCCCCTCGCTCTCTCTGTCTCTCTTTCTATTTTTTTTTCTCCCAAAGGCATTTCCATTATGCAAAAGCCGTTTCCACAGTCGAGCCTTTTGCATAATATAATTCGCTGCGAGAATTCACGATGACGCTTGACAAAGGTTCAGTCTTTTCCTGTCATGATTAGCGACGGCGCTTGAGGAAATGTCTTCCGGCGGTCGCGTTTGTCTCAGTGACTTTCGTTCGGGCAATAACCGAACGCTCCTTTCCTCTCTTCCTCGTTCTATCGTTTTCCTTCTCTCCTTATCTCTCTTTCTTCCTCCCTCCCTCTTTTTCTATCTCTCTCTCTCTCTCATTCACCATCTTACTCTTTCGTTCTCTCTTTCTCCTTTTCTCCCATTCCTCGTTGCATTTCCTAACCATTTCCCCCTCATATACATTTCTCTTACTCTTTTCATTGTTTGCTTACTTCTTCCTTCGTCAGCGTCCTCATTTTGTAAGAATTTAGCTATTGGATTTATTATGATTATTATATTTATTATGATAAATATATATATATATTTTTCCAATTGCTCCCGAACTTTATTTATTGATTCACTTATTTACATTTTTTCAGATGTTTGCTTTCGCTACCTCTTATGATCTGTTTCTTCCTTCACTTATTTTTTTTTCTTTTCTTTTCTCCTGTCGTCGCCTCCTTCGTCCATCCATCCTTCCTCCTAATCCCATCGTGCGGCCGGTCTCGTCAGCATCAACACCATCAGTCATCATCATCCAATTTTTAGTTCATGTTTTTTCTTGCGATCGCTGCCACCAAGCTCATTGGTTGATGTTGATATTAGTATTATTCTCATTAGTATTGTTATTGCTATTGTTATTATCGTTATTGTTATTATTACAAATATTATTATTATTATTGTTAAAACCATTGTAATGAGAAAAATAACAATAGCAGCAATAGAAATACTACTACTATTATTGCCATTTATATCATCTTTATTATCATCATTGTTATTGATATTAATATAATTGTATTATCATTGTTATAATAATTTTCGTGATAATGATAATAGTAATGATAAAAATTATATTATTAATAATAGTATTTAGTAGTAATAATGGCAATAGCAGTAACTGTGATAACAACAGCAGCAATAATAATAATCATTGTTACTGTTATTATTTTTAGAAATATATTAATGACGATGATGGTGATAATGATGATGATAATAGTAATAATAAAGATGGTGATAATGATGATGATGATGATAATAATAACAATAAAATGATAATGATAATAAACAAAATAACAATATTGATAATAAGCATTATTGTCATTATCGTAATTATTATTTCTATCATCATTATCTATCAACATAATCACCATTATCATTATTTTTATTACTGTAAATAATAAAACGTAAAGGTAAAGTAATGTGATGGTAATGATGATGATGATAACAATATCATCATTATTGTTGTTAATATCGTTATCATAATCATCATTCTTGTTTTAATTATTATCATTGTCATTATTATTACTATTACTATTATCATTGTTATCAATATCATTATT